GTTCTCGATTCCCACGGTTTGTATTTTACAAAGAGGTCAGATTTTTTTTTAATGGGCTTTCAAAATGCCATAATGGGTCTAAAGACCAGTCAATCTTTTTACCCATAAACCCGACCCGGCTTCTAATTCCCATCAGTGCCTCTGCAAACACCGCCATTAAACTAAACTCATCATCGTTGCTCCATTTCTCATCGTTGATCAGTCGATCGATTTCAATCTTTTTACAAACATGGATTCGGTTCTTCCTGTGGCCATTGCATCGGTTGTCTTAGGTGCGTTGATCGCCGTGCTCTTCTTCGGTAGCTACTTCCGGAAGCGCACATCGGAGGTGCAGTCCATGGCCAAGGCGGAGCCAATCCGAAATCCCAAATCGAGTCAAGCTCTTCACAAGAAGAATCATCCCAAATCTCACGCCTCCGACAAGGTAGCTTTTACTCTCCGTTTGGGGATTTGACTTTCTCGCAGCATTGAAGCTAGTAATTTCATCGGATTATTCCTTAATTTGATGGATATGAAAACCAGAATCAGATCAAACGGCATCATCCTCTTGACTTAAACACATTGAAAGGCCATGGTGATGCTGTTACTGGACTCTGTTTCTCACCCGATGGAAAGAGCTTGGCCACTGGTTAGTTAGTGAACATCCTTTTAGGGTTTTGCGAGAAATGTTTTGTTGATTAGCCAATTTCTTTCTGGTTCTGTGGATAGCTTGTGGTGATGGAGTCATCAGGGTGTTCAAGCTAGATGATGCCTCAAGCAAAAGCTTCAAGTATCCCTGCTTTTCTTCTTCTTTTTTCTTACAAATAGACTATGTTACCGGTGGAAGTTCATTCTCATTATCCAAATCTTTTTTCCTGTCTCCAGATTTCTAAGGATAAATCTTCCTGCTGGAGGACATCCAGTCGCTGTGGCATTTGCTGATGATGCCTCGTCTATTGTTGTGGCTTGTCATGCTCTCTCTGGTTCATCTCTGTACATGTACGGTGAAGAAAAGCAAAAGGAACAGCAAGCTAAGCTTCCTCTTCCTTCTATCAAATGGGACCGCCATAATATTCATGAAAAGAAAAACGTCCTTACCATATCTGGAGCAATTGCAACTTACGGTACTGCTGATGGCAGTTCTGTCATTGCCTCTTGTTCCGAAGGTGTGAATGATCTTTTCCATACAATTCATTTTTCTATTATTCTACTTTCGTAGCTATGCTAGCTTCTCTGCAGAATCTCTAGTTTTAGATTTGTGATTATAAACTGCTTAGAGGGCGTGGCCTTGGATCGTTCGTGATGACCATTCAAATGTACCATATACTTTCCTGTATTGATGTGCAACTGAGCTGCTTTGGATCACAATTTTGTCTGGCTATTCGTTAAACCTTGTCCTTCCCCAGGGACTGATATCATACTTTGGCATGGGAACACTGGGAGGAATCTCGGACATGTTGACACAAACCAGTTGAAGAACCACATGGCAGCTGTATCACCAAATGGACGTTTTCTGGCAGCTGCAGCATTTACTGCAGATGTGAAGGTGGATTTTTATTTAAACCATCAATGACTATGTGTGACCAATGACCAATGACCAATGATATCATGCTTTGTAGGTGTGGGAAATTGTGTATGTGAAAGATGGTTCTGTCAAGGAGGTTTCAAGAGTTATGCAACTTAAAGGGCACAAGGTATATATATCATTCAATACCTATAGCATGCTTCAATCCTTCCCCTCTATATAGACTCTTTCTCACTTGTCTTGCAATCTTTTCATGTTAAAACGTATGCTATCCAGAGTGCAGTGACTTGGTTATGCTTTTCTCCAAACTCAGAGAAAATCATCACCGCTTCAAAAGATGGTACAATAAGAGTCTGGAACATCAATGGTTAGTGGAGTTGTTTTAAATATTTCCATTTCCACATGTGAAACAGATTTCTCTTAGCATTAGGGCCTCTGCAAGGACCTTGTTTTGGCATTTAAGATAGATGGAATGGTTTTGGTTTATCAAACAAATAACCTGAAAGCATTGTTGTGATTTGGTTGAAGTCCGCTATCATCTTGATGAGGACCCAAAGGCTTTGAAGGTCTTCCCTATTCCACTTTGCGACTCAGGGGGAAATCCCTTGTACTACGATCGTCTCAGTCTATGCCCTGAAGGAAAGGTATTGGCAGCAACCCATGGTTCCACATTGCAGTGGTTATGTGCTGAAACTGGAAAGGTGTTGGACACAGCCGAGAACGCCCATGAAGGTAATTTGACAGTTGAAAATAGGCTCGCAAATTTCTCCTTGCACCTATCCGAAACCTTAATTTCAATGTAGTAAAAGTCTTTAAAATGTTGGTTGGATGCAGGGGATATCACATGCATTTCGTGGGCACCGAGGGCTATCACAGTTGGTATGTGTCTTTTGAAGTTTCTTTCCGTCACAATTGTTTGTGAGTTTGACATATGAATTGTTGGTTCAGGGGAGAGACAGGGCATGGTTTTGGCGACATCAGGCGTAGACAAGAAAGTGAAGCTGTGGGAAGCTCCAAAGGTGCAGTCTTTGTAGAGAGTTTACATACAAAGTCCTTTGATCACACCAGACATGAAGAATCGAGAGAAAAACTGTAATAGGAGAGAGAGGATGTCTGTTGTTATCTTCTGTTTTGATCACACCAGATGCTTGAGTCTTTTGTTTTTCCCAGGTTTAGGATTATATTTTACAGCTTCTTTCTCCTTCTCACTTGAGCAAGTGGATCTCAAACACCCTAAAACCTGCCTTTTCTACTTTTTAGACCATGAATTTTACTAGAATACCGGAACACTAACCTGTTCTGTTCACAAAACAAAATTAACTTAATTGGGCTTGGTCTTTAGCAATAGTGGGCCTATAATCTGATTTAGTAGAGGGCTTTAGCAATAGTGGGCCAATAATGTGTAAAGCCCATGAATATAACCAAAACAGGCCCTTTTAACGGTTTTAGGGTTTCTCCGTGTCATCCATCGTCTTTCCTACATTGAGCAGAGCAGTCGAAATATAAAGGAGGAGAAAGTGTGAGGGAAGGAGCTTGGAGAATCTAGCACGGAACCATGGGTCGTATGCATAGCAGAGGGT